GTTTGCTCAGTTTCATGTTTGTTGCTTCAGTGATGCTATCTAACTATCTCATCCTCTGCCGTTCCATTCTCCTTTTGCCTTCAATCTTTCCTAGCATCAGGGTCTTTTTCCAAAGAATCCTCTCTTCCCATTAGGTGACCAAAGTATCTGAGCTTGAGCGTTATTATCAATCCTTCCAATGAGCAATCAAGGTTGATTTCCTTTACCTTGATATAAACTGCTCCAATTTCTTCTGTCATTTATGTTTTTAATTAATCTGTTTCAGCTTCTGTCAGAAATGAAAGTTACTTACAGGTTTGTCTTCTTGTTTCCATTAATAAATATTTGACCAAGACTGAAAGCCTTCATTGTGATCCGGCTCAAAGAGTAGTACCTGTTGAATCAACAGCTGCTGAACTGCATATATACAGTATCCTCTTTGGCTGATAACAAGCTTAGATCTGTAGTAAAACAGGCCCAATGCAATTTCAAAAAATCTGATCGATATACTGGCCAGATTTAATTGTATATAGAATGACAAAAATGGGGTACATGCCATTCTTAAATGATCTGGCACTTCATTTTCAGAAGCATTATATCAATGCACGATATTAGATAGACTGTTAGAGAAAGTTGTTTAAGCTCTGAAACTAATACTGCACATTCAAATGGAAGCAAGAAGTGGTGTTATAAAATACATAATAGTGAAATTCCTTTGATAGGTGAAATGTAAGTATTTTAATGATTAAAAAACTGACAGTGGTGACAAATTACTCTTCAGACTGTAGTATCATTGAACAATTATAACAACACTGTAGCATCTGGCAAATGAAAAGAAGATACAAAACACTTCCTTGGATGATATCTAAAAGCATACATGATGATGTAAGGTAACATACTGCTGTATGATAGATGTGTTATATTTGTTCATGAAGTAAAATTAAGAAATATAATTACGTATGTTGGAGGGATGAGTAGTGACCATTGTTATGGAGATGACTTTTGTAGTTTGCTGTGAAACCTGATACTAGTTCTAGATGATGTACAGTAATTCAAAGATAATTCAGTAATTAATGTAGTACCAACCTAAACGTTATGTTCCGCATAGCTTTTATAAGAATGTTTCAGGTCCTGATCAGGACTTACTGTGGATTTCAATGTATGGTAAGAAAATTGTGCACCAATTTATTCTAGTATTTCAATCTGTGATTGTATGAACTGTGCTACATGATGGGGGGTATTTATCTAGCTGATATGAACAGACTGAATGCCGGAGATCCACCAGGAATTGTTGGGATTTATTTTTTGTAAGGGGAAAATTAATCAGTTTTATGCAAATCACACAACAAGATACCACAAATCTGTAGGTTGCACAATAGAATAGTTGATATCACATTAAATATCAACCCAGTAATTTCTGTATGACATGGATCACAATCTAGGATATTAAATGTGTATTCAGCAGGCTTGTTCAGATCATTTGATAATATGATCATTGATCATAAACTGTGCAAATTATATATTATGATTTCAGGATAAACCTGTAGAAGTCATTGAAGCTGATAATTCTGGTCTCCCTAGAAACAAAAGATATGACAAGAAATGATATCATTTGGCAATAGCTAATGACTGAAGAATACAGTGCATACTACTGAAAACAAAGCAGCTTTCCTGTTTCATAATCAAAAATGTCACAGATTTTTGCTTCATTATACCCATGATAACTTATGCAGAGCCTGATTAATGCTGCAGGAGCCTAGCCAAATAATATGTATATGTAATACTCTAATATGTGACATATCCTCTGTGCCACTACCACTTGTGAAAGTCAATGAGCAATTTAATTGAATGTCAAAGGGAGACTTTGTCCATGTTATTCTTACTGCAGTGATAAACTGAATATGAGTTTTATGACTTGGTTGTGAAAATGTGTTACAGCCATTATGTATTGAATCAAGCTACACGGAAGCCTTTCATATGTCAGACACTTGAAGAATATACTAAATGAAGTGATGATATAAACACTGTGCTTGGTATTTTTGATAATTGTTGATTAACAAAGCCTGCTGTGGATTTGAAAAGAGCAATACAAAATCTAGTTGATGGACTTGAGATGTACGGAAACTTTTGAAACTAAAAGTAATTGCTGAGCTTCCATAGGTTTCATAAGCTATGTAGAATATCATTTAATATATGTAAGAAAATTTTTTGTAGAATGTTTTTTTTAATAAGCTCATCTTGCTGGTGGCAATCAATGAGATGTCAAAAGATTTGTGACCCAAGCTCTTAGTCATATCAGAAGTTTTACCATGTCAGAAGTTTTACCAATGTGCAAATTCTTTCTCCAACAAAAGATACTTCTGAGACTCTTTTACTGTGGGGGTATTTAAAACTGCTTCTGATACAGTTCATGTACAGACTAGAATTATTATAGGAAAGCCAAAAGGAGGAATAAGGCTGTCCTACATTGCTTCAGTTCCAAAAGTAATGGGAGCAGGGTTTTGTCCGATATTTCTCCCACTGTTGCTGTTTGCTGTCCAGGCACCTCACTCAGATGATGAATTCTATGACCAAAGAAGGATCTTATAGCAAATTTCTACTTTTTTTCTCTTCTCATGAATTTATTCCTTTGCACATAAAGCTTGCACAAACATGTGCAGTAGACTGCAAAATGAGCAAGGGGTAGAGAAGATACAATGTTAACAAAAAGCCTTGGGAGTATTATGTGTAACTCTGTGTAGTGTTCATTTGGGGGAATGGTAATCTCTTTTCTGTGATTCATTACCCTTTATAGGAAAAATAATCCCTTTGCCCACATCATATTTCTGTTTGTCAGGCAGTTTTGAGTGTATCATAAAAGGCTCAGATAATGAATTTGGGTTCCTAGCAATTATTTTCCTAGATCAGATGCTGAGAGAGATTATATTTATTTATTTATTTATTAGAGAAATGTCTATACTGCATAATCTCAAAACTCTAGGCAGTTTACAGTGCATGAAACATAACAATTTAGTAGTAGATATAGTTAGTATATGTTTTCTAGGTTTAATAGTGGTGGTGTTGAATTGGCTGTCTGTCTGATTAGTAGTTTGAGCTTTCCTCCAGCTGAAATTGGTGATGTTGATATTGGTGAGATATCACCTGTGCAACTGTTACAAATTTCAAACTCTCTTGTACTAGTTCAGTTGTTCAGAACAAATTAGTATATCTATTTCAGCATTTAAAATAGTTTCTTATGCCTGTAATATGGTTCTGTCCATCTATTGCAGATTTGTAGTTTTTAATTCCTAGGGTAATTCACATTATTATGATTTATTGGGTGCATCTACTTATGTTCTTGAAGAAGCTCAGTCAAGGGTTCCCGGTCTTTGCAAAAGCCGTATATCTAATAAATATGTGCAACCCACCCCCCATTAATAAAACTAATGATTTCATGGAGAAAGAGTTGGGCGAGAAATAAACAAACCATTTATTAAATGATTTTCACATTATACTTTCTTAAGGCTTACTTTTATCAGCACTCACACTATTTTTTTCATCTTTCACTTTTATCTTACCACCCAACAAAAAAACCTCCTGTTTTGAAAGACTAGAAATTTAAAATAACACAGAAGAATATTGAATTTCACTAATGGGGTTCTGCTATGATTGGTGGATAGTTTTGATAAATGTCTAGATTCATGGATTTAGCCATTTCTCAAAACTTGCTCTAGCCTTTGCTTTCCTCTTTGCCCACTGGAGCATTACTGGAGGAGTTTTGGCAGTGTTCCTGCATTACTTCCACATGTCAGATCAGCTTTAAAAATATGAAGCCTCTTCAAGTTCCCTTTGGAGTCAAAACACATTGTAAAGATCCCACTCTTCATGAGGTCAGTCAGACTGAGATAGTGATCTTCCTCAAGTCATCCTTTGAGCTAATTAGTAAAATTGTATTTGAATATAAGTCTTTTTTATCACAGTGGCACTTTTATCAGTGGGCCCAAAGTACTTAGTCGCCCTTTCAGTCATAGGAAATTTTTAAAAAAAGCCTTCTGTGGGCCTCCACATTTAAAAGTGATATGCATATAGCAAGGTGTTTTCCACATGTATTTGATTATAATGGTCCCTTGTCATTGTCTGTGCTGGCTGGCTAGTAGAAGTTGAAGTCTAAAATAAAGTAACATCTAGCTGCCTATCCCTAATGTTTGGTATAACCAGATATAAAGTGAAATAGGAAGCAGTTCTTAGTTTGACATTTTTAGGGGATTAGCTTTAGCTTAAGATAATTGTGCTTAAATTAGTTGAAATCAGTTGAATTGATTTCAGTGGTACAAAAGCACAGCTATCTTAAGTGGATTCAATCCAACATAATATGGGTAAATCATATTTTATTTTCTATATGGTCTTAGTTGCCTGGAAAAAAATGTGCTCAGTGTCTGCCCTCCTGAATATTATTTATTTAGTAAAACTAAATAAGAAATTTCTGATACAACTTCTGTAAGGCTGACATTAAAATAAAGTTCCTGAATTATTTTTTCTTCTCTTTTTTTAGTTGTGTTAGAGTAGAGGAGCACCATGCTGTTGACATTGACCTCTACCACTGTCCCAATTGTGCAGTTCTTCATGGACCCTCCTTAAGTAAGTGATGAATTTTAAAGCATTTTGCACAATTTAGGGTGTGGTGGCACTTGATACTGAATATAAATTATTTTTATAGCTGATTATATTATGGCTATCCTTGATAATTATGCAGTGTTATTACCAAAGCTTATAGAAATTTAACACAACTTGATTTATACTCTGATTATACCATTAACTGGTTATATTATTAACTGGAACAAAGATGGATCCATTAGTTCCTTTTGGGTTCTGTTATATCTATAGATTACTGCAAGAGATTTTTTTTTTTTTAATGGTTGTAGAATCTATAATTTACAATCTATAAAATGGTTGGGTTTATATTTTTCTTGAAATATATCACAATATGTTTGGTTAAATATGTCTAAATGTATAGATGCAATTTTGGTAGATATAACCTGAGGGTTAAAACTTTCATTAAGTCTTTGGGGCAAAATTAGTATTACCCCAATGAATATGTTAGCCCTTTGAGGTAGGCTAGGTTAAGAGACAAGACTACCAGGATTCCAGGAGTGCTGCTTTATTATGCTAGGGAATCTTGAAAGTTGAATGCTAACAGAATCTTGAGAGTCTGTTCAAGTTTTCCCTGTCCCCTCTTATACTAACAAAATCAGGTGGGGATATTTTGAGTTTCTTTCTCATGATTGCTTCAACCTGTGGACTATGTAATTGCTTCTCCAAGTCCGTCCTTAATTGTTCTTTTGACCAAGATTATCTCTAAGTTTCTTTGCAGAATATTACATTTAAGATTAATATACATTACAGGGGGATTTTATTCTAAAGTATTCTATTAGATACTTCACACAGATAGGTATGTTACTGAGAAGATGTTTATGGCAGGTTAAGACTTCTTGAATATCCTTGACCAAAATGAAGTTATCTTATGATAATGGTGGTTTCAACCTACCAGATTTTTAACACTATCATTGGGCTTTTATTTTAACTTTTCTATTATTTTCAAACAATACCTTTTATGAATATTTCCCTCTTTGGGAGTAAGTTATAACAGTTCTGAAATTTTGGCAAATTTTAGGGTCCGGGAATAATAGGGATCTTTGTTTCCTGCCTTGAAAGATGCCAGGCACATTTGATCATTAATTGGTAAATGTGTATTCAGCAATCAAGTGATATGATTGTTTTAAAGACTTGAGATATTGTGTGTGGAATATGACTTATCTAAAACATTTGCTTGGCAGAATATATAATTAAAACATGTAACTAAAAATATGGCCTACATGTTTTAGTACAGGCAGTCTTCGGTTAACAACCACTCATTCAGCGACCATTCAAAGTTACAACGGGGCTGAATGAGTGGTATTTATGACCAGTCCTCAAAGTTGCGGCTGTTGCAGCACTGCCACAGTCACGTGATCATGATTCAGGTGCTTGGCAACCAGCTTATGCTTATGCTTATGCTTGGCAATCAGCTTATGTGACAGTTGCAGTGTCCTACTGTCACATGATCGCCATTTGTAACCTTCCCTGCTGGCTTCCCACAAGCAAAGTCAGTGGGGAAGCTGACAGGTAAGGTTACAAGTTGCTCCTGCTCCCATTTCTCCTGAGAAGCCCTCTTACGGAATACGAGATCCCAGGGATCTCGTACTCTGTAGTGCACGCCTGCCTGCAGCACCCCCCCCCTTCACACTCTATAGCGCACTCATGGGGGCCTGGCTGTACTCACACTGGGCTGCAGCACCCACCTGCCTGCCTGGCCACACTCACACCATAACACCCACCCCCTGCCCAGCCACACTCACGCATTGTGACACCCATCTGCACTCTGTAGAACTCACCAGCCCGCACTCATGCTGCAGCACTCCCCATCTGGCCGCACTTGTGTCAGGCTGCAACCCCCTTACCCTACCCACCCACACTCCATAGCACTCATCTCCCCACCAGCCTGCTTGCAGGCTGCCTAAGGAAAGGCTTGTGGTGACCAGGACTTGCAATTACCTGCCGGCTTCCCCATTGACTTTGCTTGTTGGAAGCCAGCAGGAAGTCGCAAGTCATGGGTCATGAGGTCCTTGCTTAATGGTCCGTGATCCTTGCTTAATGATGGCAACCAGGACTGCCAGGATTGCCATTGCTAAGAAATGCGGTTACATGACCTTGCACTTTACGACTACATTGCTTTGCAATGGAAATTCCAGTCCCAATTACCGTCGTTAAGCAAGGACTACCTGTATTCTCAAAGGTACCTGCTATTTAAAGACTTGAACAAAAATGAATTACATATATATAATACATATATATATATATATATATACACACATATATATATATATATACACACATAT